TTTGGAGCTGGGGGAGGTGTAGGTGGTGGGGCTGGCGGTGGTGTTGGTGCTGGTGGGGGCGGTGGCGGAGGTGGAGGCGGTGGTGGTGCCGGAGGCGGTTCAGGTCATGGAGGCGGATTTGGAGCTGGGGGAGGAGTAGGTGGAGCTGGAGGTGTTGGTGGAGGTGCTGGCGGAGGTGGAGGTTCAGGCGGCGGCGGTGGTGTGGGAGGTGGTTCAGGTCATGGGGTTGGCTTCGGAGCTGGAGGAGGGGTCGGCGGAGGAGCAGGCGGTGGTTTAGGAGGTGGATCTGGCCATGGTGGTGGTGTTGGTGCCGGCGGTGGGAGAGGAGGAGGGGGAGGATTCGGAGTTGGAATAGGCATCGGAATCGGAGTCGGCGTCGGCAAAGGAAGCGGTAGTGGTTCCGGTAGCGGCGGCGGAGGTGGGCGGTGAAAACCACCGAGACAAAAGTCAAGTTCTGTAGCTGGAAAAATTTACTGCAAGTTTGCTTCTTGAAATCCAGTAATATTTTGTATTGGATTATATATAATTAAATATGCATTTGCATTTTAAACACTCAACCATGGATTTTATATATAAATAAACCTTAATTCTTTTTATAAAAAAATAATAATTACTCAAATCAAATTCACAACAAAAAATAAGACGTTTATTACCCAGTGAACTTTTACCATATAAAAGACGTTTATAAACAATCCATCAAAAATATTATCTGATAAGGTAAGTGAAGATAAATGGATTTTACTGGTAAATGCTAACGAAATAATCATTTAATAAAAGTCCCCTAAGTTCATAATTTTTTTTATCGAATTGTGTCAAAACAAATATTATTATGTAACCATAGAGAGTTTATTTCATCGAGCATAGTTTTGACATTCAATTTCGAGTTAATCGAGCTCTCAATTTGTCTCGGCTCGTTTACTCCTAGTGTCATGTTTTCAAATACTGAAATAATAGTTTATTACTTATTAAAAGCGTATTAAATAAAACATAAGCTCTTCAAAAAGATACAAAAAAAAAAAAAATAAGTAGTCCGATTTTGGAATTTAATGATATCTGTTTAAATCATGGGCCGACCCAGGACTGGTTATGAGAGAAGCCCTGATTTTGAATTCTTATAGCCGTTGGGTAACGACTTCATGACCGTTCGGCAACGGCTTTATAGCCGTTTGAGACGACTTTTTGAGGCGTTTCGTTTTACCCCTTTACACTATATATAAGTCATATGGTGTATGGGGAAGATACCAAACTCACAAACGATTTGCGGGTTCCTTGAGGAGTGCCAAAAATACCTTCCAAACCCAAGTGCTTTCTTCCCGAGAATCTAATTTTCAGGAAATCTTGCATCTCGAGCATTTGTGCATATGAAGGTGAGGTTGGTTACGTTATCTTATGAATTCTAATGAATACTTTTATTTGGAAAACCTGTATCCAGATGAATAGGATTTTCTTGAATTACATTAAAATTTTCTTTCCATTTAAAATCGATCTTCTTTTTTATAGAAACAATTAAAATAACGAGGATTTATATTTGTATTCTTTATCTATAACATATCAATTTGTATTGCATATAAATGTTAATAACATTATATCGTATAATTCTCTTCAGATTCGCAAGAAGAAACCAGTTTCGGGTTTGGGAGGAACTTCCGGCCTCCTCAAGGAACTCGCAAGATATTTCTCTCTCATCTATCCTCACACCCTTACCCTCCCCTTATTCTTCCAAAGCTGACGCTGATGAAAAACCAACCACGCTACTTTTTCCTCTTTTTCTTCGATCTTCTCTCACAATCGACCACCACTTCCATCTTTCAGCCCTCCTCATCCTCTGCCATATTTGAAACTCATACTCAATGGGCATGCATCAGAAACATAAAACTAGTCCAAATTACAATCTGCCAAATGGTTTTGACAACGGAAACTCTTGGGGTGTTCGTGATAGCGGTGTCAGTGAATTAGCCCTGGCACCATATGGTTTGACATTGGAAACTCCGGGGATGCTAGTGGTAATGGTAAGCCTAACACCATTTGATTGTTTTAATTTCAATCGAGCCATGGCTCGCTAGAAGGGTTTTGGTAGATCATGGTTTAGGAGTAGCCATGGAGCCGTTGGGGGTGTTTCAATTGATGGAGAAAAAATACCACCTAAGAGGTAAGACCTCAATCTTTTCTACATTCAGTGACTCTTTCCAATGTAGGTAACTCTATAAACCCCAAATTTTCCAAATATGGTCACCTGTAAACTCTATTCTTGGGTGGTGCAGAGCTATATTTATAGATAATGATCCATTTCTGAACTCTATTGTCTCCTTGGAAATGGATCACTGTCTATTAACTCTAGCATCTGCACCACACAATGAGACAATGGAGTTCACCAGTGGTTGTATTTGGAAAAGTTTTGGGGTTTATAGAGTTATCTACATTAGGAGTCGTTGAATGTAGAAAACCCAGAATTAGATGTTCTCCATTTGTTGAATCTTCGACACTGCTAACAGTACACTCGAGTTGGTCATCCCAAAAAATTTGAGGTCTCATCCCTAAGTTCCAATTTCCTCTATCAACTGCAACACCTTCAGAGGTTCTATGGCAACCCCTAAACCATAATCTACCAAAGCCATTCTAGTAACCTACGGTTCAATTGGAATTGTGAAACAATCAAATGGTGTTAGGGCTTCAACAACACCATCATCACCAACGTCCTCGGAGTTGCCATTGTCAGTACCAAATGTATCAAGGCTAATTCATTCGTACCTCCACCACTATCATCCCTAGAGTTCCCATTATTAAAACCAATCAAAGAAATGTAATTTAGACGAGCGTTATGTTCTTGATGATGCAGGTTGCTCCGATGTTAGTGTCGAATATGGGAGAGGAGGAGAGGCGGAGATTGAAGTGGTGCCCGCTGGGTAGAGAAGATCGAAGGAGGGAGGAAGAAGTGGGAGGGGTTCTTCATCAACGATGGCTATGGAAGAATAGGGGAAGGGCGGTGTGCGAAACGTTGACATATTAATAATAAGTAACCAAATGAAAATGAGAAAGAAGAAAGAACGATATTCAAATACCTACAGATAACAATAACAAATAGGTAGTTCTTAGCTACAAGCACACCAGTACGGATGGAAACTCAGTCCCGCTAATGGGTGAGGATTTTCCGCTTTGAAGGATAATAGGTCGGGCGAGGATGATCTTAATTTTTGAAACAGGTTCTGACCAGTGTCGAAGATCGTACTACATGTCCTTAATCCAACCCATTATTTCTATATGTATGTTCTATTGTTTAAATATTGGATTTTCACCTACTCCTTTTGGCTTATTGTATTTATTGATTGGTTATGTTTCTTAAAGTTTAAGACATAATTGTTTATTTAAAAAAGATCTTTTTGTTTTTCATTTTAATTATTATTATTATTATTATTATTATTATTATTTATTTATTTATTTATTTATTATAAACGGAGATTCAACTGACAATTGGTTCCATTATACTTCGGGACAAGGACATGGACAAGATTAATAAAATTAAAATGGACAAGTAAAATTAAAAATTCGATTTAAAAAATAATAACAAAATTACGAATTGATTTGGCATCCAAGTCATTGAATGTTACAAGATCAATAAAATGTGTACAAATAGGAAAACTTGAAAGTGTTACACAGATAAAATATCGGTACACAGTAAAATGGAAATCTAGGATTTGACCCCACCCACCACCCACCATTTTCTGGAACACAGAATTAATCTTTCCATGATGATCGTAAAACCAGTATTATAAAGACGTTTCAGAAAATTACAACATACCTTTTTTTTAACAAAATAATTGGCATTTTTGAAGGACATTAGATTGATAAACCAATCTCAATAAAATTTGTGACCCAACAACATTTTCATGTATGAAAGCAACTCTTGAACTCACCACATGAACAATAGCCACAAGAATGCTTGCTAAACTTCACACCAACCATTTTAGATGTACCATAAAACATAAAAGTGCACCTATATATTTATGAAGAAGAAAAATCGTGTGAGAATATGAGTTAAGGTGATAAATGTATACTATAACAAAATTGAGTTTATAGAACATCCCCAATCTTTAAGCGTCCAAATAGACCGCTTTATAGGACTTAATTTATAGGACCAAAATATAAAGTGTTATATCTAAAGGTGTTGTAGTAAGGGGTTGTTTACCAAACTCTTACTCGGGTAAGTGAACACGAAGTCACATTACCTTATTGGATGAATATGGTAAGGACCAATAATCTTACCCAGTAAGAACGAGACAATGACCAAGAGTCTTACCCGATAAGTGAGAACGACGATTCTTACCACGGTAAGCGCATGAATATGGTAAAGACCAATAACCTTACCCGGTAAGAGCATGAATATGGTAAAGACCAATAACCTTACCCGGTAAGAGCGAAACAAGAACCAAGAGTCTTACCCGGTAAGTGAGGGCGACGACTCTTATCATGGTAAGCGCTTACCGGATAAATTATTGCAAACAAAACCGTTTTAGTGGACTAAAATCTTACTCGATAAGTAAATGATAATGTTAAATTTTACCGGTAAGCGTTTACCGGGTAAGTGTTTGGTAAACGGCCCCTAAGTTTATATGACGTTTTTGGACGTCTTAACAAATTTTTTAGGACATTTTTAATGCAGAGTGTTGCATTAGCAACTCAAAGTGTCCTATAAACTCATTTTTTTATAGGACACTTGGTTTTATAGAACAAATTTTCAAATAGTGTTTTATAAAGTTGCTAATATGACGCTTTATATTCAAAGTGTCCTAAAAAACTTATTACGACGTTAAAAAACGTCATATAAACTTCTTCCAACGCCTTTAGATAGGACATTTTGTTTTTTTTGGTCCTATAAAATGAAGTCCTATAAAGAGGTCTATTAGGACGCTTAAAAATTGGAAGTGTCCTATAAACCCGATTTTATTGTAGTGGTAAGAAGGGATTTAGACTCTCGATCACTTTTAGTTTCAAACCAACCCATGGATTACGTTAATTCTTATTCTCATCGGAACCAAACCCTATTTATAAAATAGACTGTGCATATAGGTGGAGGTTTAAACGATAACACCCATGTTTTACAAGAATGCGAGAACATTTACGGGCCTCCAAATTATTTAACTCATAATTAAAATTAAAAGAAAATAAAGTAATTTAATTATGGATAATCATGTGATTTTGTATTTTTTCTGTAATTTTTGTGACATCCTTATCTCTAAAATCACATACATATAATATGCTAACAGGTATCAGATAACTATCACATTTTATCACAACAAAATCACACAATGAACAGACAACGTGAATGTATAGACGTGACGATCGCGATTTTCAATTATCATATTGCTATTAGATGATCATCACATCAAAATCACATCATAAAAAGTCTTTAATTTATCAAATCATTATCACAT